ACCGCCCTTAACCCCCTCGTCAGTAAATCTGGTACGGCCCGGACAGTGGAGCTCCGGTCTTCCAATCCCCGGCCGGGGCCGGTAGGGTCGCGCGGGCCTTGTGCTGTGTGGCCCTTGCCCGAACCACCCGGCCCCATCCTCACCCTCCGCTACTCCGGCCAACCCGTGGCTGCGGTGGCGGCCGCGTTTTTTTAGGTCACCACCTTGCTGTGTCGTTAGCGTGTTGCAGTCTCTTGACCGTTGTGTTTTCTGTGTGTTGACAGCTTCGATGTGGAGAATGGCGGGGGCCCCGGGCGCAGCCCCCTGGACGGGGTGGCCTCCTCGCCGTCGGCGGGGCTCGTGCTGCAGAACCTTCCCCAGCGGAGAGAGTCCTTCCTCTACCGCTCCGACTCGGACTTCGAAATGTCGCCGAAGTCCATGTCGAGAAACTCGTCCATCGCCAGCGAGAGGTTCGTACTACGATGTTGTTATTTTTTTATTATTATTCTAGTATTTCATTTTCCGCCTGTTATCCTCCGCTCGGGATGGGGACTCTTTCCCAGGAAAGGAGAGAGGGAGAAAAGTTATTGCTTGGAACTTTTTTTTCCCCTCTTGTATGACTTGGAAGTGCGACGGCCAATATTAAGTCTTTTAGTGGGAAACCATATGATGTAGTTGACGTGTTCCCATTCCAATGTATTTACAAAAACGCTATATCGCATGATGTACGGGGCTTTCCGAGTAACTCCCCACTGTAGGAGGGTTTCTCTCAGTATTTACACGCCTGCATGTTGTTTTTTTTCGCCCGTCGACAGCGGGGCCTTCTCAGTCTGTGCTTTCAGTGTACATATGTGCCGTAGAGAGACGCGTGTCGCGCTGTCGTCGACGCGATCCCCGAGGGCGCATTTGGACCGCGCGCGCTTCCCCCGAGGACGCCCCTTGGGTGCACACCCCACGGCCTACCCCGGCCTTCCTGACGCACACAGACACTAATGACTTTGCACCCCAGACCATCCCAACGGACCCGACCCCGCTCCGGCCCCCCAGAACCCGCTCTCCCCGACCCAGAGAGAAACGCCTCCCCATCCGACCCCTTCTACCCCAAACCTCTGACCCTTTCCTTTAAGGGGTCCGGAGGGACGTAAGCTGATTTCATCTGCTGCTCTCGAAATATGAGTTTGCAATGCGGGGTGGCGGGACAGTCGGCCCGCGGCGAAGGATGGAAGGGAAATGGCCCTTCCCTCGAAGGAAACGCTTTATGTGCATCTGCCCCGCGCTCTCCTCCCCATCCCTCATCACTCGATCTCGACCTCCCCGACGACGCTTCTTTCGCGCTCCGTCTCTCATCTCGACTGTTGTTCTTTGTTTGCCCAGAGAACCATTGTCAGACGAGGGTTATGAAATTAAACTTTTGCGCCCACCTGGACGGGCGAGGAAAACATTCACGGTAAACAGGGCAGTGGGGTGCGGCTGTGGTGGAGGGGCGGCATCGGGGAGGGGTCCGGGAGGGCGGGTCGCGGCCGCGGCGCTCTGAAGACGCATGACAACCACTTGTGGCGCGTTCTGTCGGCGAGGCTCGTAAGCGTTGACTGCGCGGCGAACATGGCCGCCCGCGCGACGCCCCGCGGCCCCGCGGCCCAACCCGGGCCGCACGGCGGGCAGCGTCTCGGCTCGCGCGGGGTCTATGCGCCGCGGCCCCATGGGCCCCACGGGCGTCGCGCCGCGGGGTAGCGCCGGGGCCGTCGGGTTGGGCGAGGTCGGGGGCCGCAGCGCCGGGAGATACCCCGTACAGAGACTCTTTGGGTCAGGAGGAGGTAGACAAAGTGAGGCAGACTCTCCTGAGTCCATGCAGCCGGAGAAGGCTGGTGGCATGTGGCGGATCGAGTCGCAAGCCCACAGATTATAACACTTCATGAAACTTAACAACTTAACGTTTCTAATCGTCCCAAAACTTCTAAAATAAAAATAATTAAACGTTAATAGACCATAAAAATTAAAAGTCTTACGCCTCTTAAATATCTTGAAGTGAAACAAAAGTACAAAACAGATACAATCTTTGATGGGGTCGCAGCGCGACGCGCCACGTTGTGTGTGCGGTGTCGAGTGGGAACACAAGTCGCGCCGCTGCCCGGTGGCGTCCGTGAGCCCCGGCCGTCACCGCCGCCAGTCCCGGTCATTGATTTGGCACGGCAGCGCCCTCTGTCGCGAGGTCAACGCGTCGCGCCGCGCGCCGCCGCTCACGCCCACCAGAGCGCGCTACCGTGCTTCGTGTTGTATCTCTCCGCCCCCCCCGCCATGCCGGGGGGGGGGGGGGTCTCTTCACTTCCTTTTGCACCTCCTGTTTATTTCATCCCCAGTCCATTAGCGTACTGTTGCCTTACTGTCTAAAGCAGCACGCCCCCACCCCCTTTTATCTTTCTCTCTAATTCTTATGAACTCTCTCTCCCCCTCGCCGCCTCTCCCCCTGCCTCTGTCACTGTCTCCGCCTCTGTCTCTATCATTTTATAAACCAAAAATAAAGTGTCTTTCCCTCTACCGGTACTCGCATTTCTGCTTTCCCCTACCCTCCCTTTGCTACCTTGACCCTTCGACACCTTTAAT